GCAGGACAACATTCACTCAGGAGTATAAAAATCACTTTTTTAACTTACAATGAATAATATTGTGACATTTATCATCATAATTATTGTTTTCAACTAATATTTCATTTTTATTTTGATACTGGTTTGGTCACATTATCCAGCCTTAATGCAGAAAGTAGCGTGAGGGTGTTTTATTAAAGTCAAAATCAACTTTATTGTCAAATAGAACATAGACAGGATTAAAATGCTGTTTCTCTCTGGTGTAAACATGTTAATCATCATATAAGTACTCATCTTATAAGTAAACATATTAAGAAATCAAATGACATCTAAGAACACAACATGCACAGTCAAATACTTTATGGAGAGTAATGTTCATCTACAGGATGAATCAAATAGCAGCAGATGTAGTAGAATAAAATGCTCTAAAGTTTTTTTCCACATTCTCACTTCAAAGCACATGAACACACCGAAGTCAGAATAACAACTTTTCAAGGACCTTGTGAAAAGCCGCTGAATGCAGAGTCGGCCCAAATGAGGGTCACATGAACGTCAGTCCTCTCAGCTGATGGCCTGCAAACTTACAATCACTCATGTAAATTGCTGTCATGCTTCTGTGATGTTTTTAGTTTATTTAGCTGTGTCATGTTTTTCTGTCGGTAGTCTTCCAGCTGCAGGTTGACAGAACTTCCACCATGGTGCAGGAATACCAGTCCCCGGTCCGGGTCTACAAACACCCGTTTGAGTTAATCATGGCGGTGAGTATTGCTGTTTATGCTGCAGCTGCAATCCAGATAATTATATGTTATCTCTTACCTAATAAGACAATAGACAGTAGACATGAGTGTTATTACTTCGTGGGATCTTACATAAGTGAAGTGGAGACAAGGTGCATCTTCAGTACAAAGCCACTGTGGCTTTGACTCCTGCTCACCTCTGGAATATTTGTGGATTCTTACTGGATTCCAGACAGAAATCTAGACACTGTCAGAAAACAAAATATAAAATGTGTGGCCTCCCAGGGTGCTCTGTCTCCTACTTGATATACTCTCACCTGCCACAGCTGCTGTGATGAGGGACTGGACAGAACATTCAGAAAAGAAACTTCTCTCTCCTGGTGTGGTGGTAGGAAGAGGAATCTGCAGGGTGCACATGTTGAGAAAACTACTTACAAAACTTTTCTAGGAAGTTTCCACTGATTCATTGCCTGGCTGACCACTCTGTATGCTTTAACTGGCTTATTGTTGGATATGTTTATGTCTTTGTAACTCATTAAGCCGCGTGAGTTGTTTCTCTGCCGTCATGTGATGCTCAGTGGTAAAACCAAACAAATGCTGTGAGTTTATTTAAGAACAGGAAGAAAAGTAGGACAACATGTGGGTTTTCATAAGAGGCCGGCAGGTTTCACCCACTTGTACAATCTGCTCCTGCTCTTGTTTCCTGCTTTTTGCAGTTACACATTAAGCTAAAGACTTATGCAACATTGTCCAGATAGGGTAATGCTGCTGCAGTGACCCCTTTCTCTCCACGGACATTATCTCCTCCACCACATAGTCCACAGCCAAACAAGCTTCATCCCCCATGAATCATCTCATGATTAATATGCTGACTGCGTCGTTGTCATATTGAAAAGGACCTTGAAAAATAAATCTTTTGTGAAAAGTAAATAACAGCTCCCATGAAAAGATTCAGACCTCAGCAGCATAAAGGAGAGACTCCAGACTTCACCTCCTCCGCTCATTAGTTCCTCTGCTGATCCAGTTATTACTCAGGCCAACGGTTCTAATCACTGTCCAGGATGTTAGTGAACCATGGACATCACTGCCGTCTGCTTCTTGACACGATGTTCCTGGGTGTGACAGTGTCCCAACACATTTGATTTGTGTTTGTGCAGACATACGATCCCATTTTTCACATGACTGACACAAGTGGAATTGTATTTACTCAGCGTTTGTGCTTCACAGCCACAGTCAATAAACTCTTACTGGTTTGCTAATGTAAAATATAATAGAGTGAAACAGTGGAACTGTGGAGTCTGACTTGTTCTGCTCTTCTTTATGCTTAAATAATGCTTTTTATGCTTATAGCGCTAAGAAAGACACAGATTTCCATTTGTCTGCCGTAACAGAAATGTAATTGTTGTGTGTCTGTTCCACAACACCAGACAATGCTGCTTATTGTCTTGGCCATGGAGGTTGTGTTTTCACCCCCTGTCCATTTCTTTGTGGGTTGGTTTGTTTGTAAGCAAGATAACAAAAAAAACCATTTAACCGATTTCCACGAAACTTGGTTGAAGAATGTGGTATGGGTCTGAGAAGAAGACGAGGATCGGGGGAGGGGTCCAGGAATTTTTTGCACTTACATCTTTAACACACACGTCTGTTGGAAGGTGTGCACTGTGCCGGTCATCTTTAGTGTGAATTTCTGGAGGTAATCTCCTGTAAATAATTTTTGTCTTGTCTTTAGTCAGTTGTTTTAGCCACGAGGATCAGTTGAGCTCTTTGCAATTTTAAAACAGTTTGAGTCTCAGGCTGATTTATTCCACACACACACACCAGTGGAGGGTTGTCATTGTTTGCTACATCTAGGGCTCATAGTTCCTGCAGAGTATTAGCAGTAGTTTTTACCGTGTGGTGAAGTTATATGTTGCTAAAACATTAAACTGGCAGCTGTACTATTGTAATGGTCTGGTTCCTTCCCTGCCCTAAGATACTCGTCAATAGTTTATCAGTAAAATGTTCCCTTCTGCAAGATGCACACTCTGATGACTATTTTTTATTCACATCCTGAAACGCCTGCTCAGCCGCTCAGTCAATATTGACAAGTGAAGCTGCGGTGACTCTTCCCTGAACAGACAGTGTGCTGTGGGCAATAAAACATGAAGTAACTGTCGCCTGTAAAAACTGTCACAGATGCGCAAACGTTGATATGCTTTTACATAAACTGTTAAATTCTCTCTGCTCTATTCAGATATTTACTCTCATTTCAAATACAAACAACCTTGTCGTAATGCGATCATGAAAAACATATTTTCCTCCGATCAGAGAGCTGCTTCAATGTTGGCGGAACAAAAGCAAAACCCAGAGTGGAGGAGAATGAACAGAGCCAGGAAAAGCACAATGAAACCAGCATGAAAGAAGCTGCTTTTTAAAATTTTATTCATGTATTTAACGTGTGACGTATTTCTCATTCTCAGGCCTATGTAAGGAGATTCCCAAAGTGCCCCTTGATCCCAGTGTTTGTGGACAGTAAGGTCGTCAGTGAAACCCAAAGTGAGGATGGATCTATGCTGGTCACAGAGAGGCGCTGTACCATCGACATTGATGCTCCACGACTTCTTAAAAGGGTAACTGTCCTGTGACCTTTCACTGTGCAAAACCATGAAATAACCATAATGTTTGACTAACCTGGTACAAACCATGAATATATTTCTCTTTTTCGTGTAGATTGCCGGTGTAGACTACCTGTACTTTATCCAAAAGAACACCCTGAACCGCAGGGACAGGACGCTCCATATTGAGGTCACCAACGAGACCTTTTCCAGCAGAGTCCTCGTTCACGAGAGCTGCAAATACACGGTGAGTCTCTGAGTCAAACAATAAAAGAAGGTGGTCAGGATGAGAGAGATTTTATTGTTTTTGTGCGACACTGTTGCTGTGCCTCGTGCTCTGTTGGAGGCACGGAGCCCTTCACAAAGCCAGTGCAGTATGTGATGAAAACAATAGGCAGCAGAAAATAGAAGACACAGCCAGCATTAGCTGTTACAGCTGCATGTGCAAATCATTATGTCATGTCACGTCACATTAATGTCATGTCACGTTAAAATTAATTAAAGTATGAATTTGTACAAAGAGACCAAAGGAAAACCGGAGTAAAATCCCTCGTGTGTGTTCACATACCTGGCAATAAAACCGATTGGTGTCAGTTCATTTGCATCTGTGTTTTCTTTTTATTTGTAATTATTTATAATAAAGTTAATGGTTAAACTATAAAATAGGTAAAAAAGGGTTTGGTAAAGACTTCTCAGGAATCATTACCAATGTGTGTATGTATGTACACAAACACCTATGAATAATATATCAATAATATACATTCATCAACTTCATAGTATCGATTATCACCCCCCAAAAATCCATATTAGTCAGGCTGCACATACATTATACCATCTGAACTATTTAAATTATTACTAAGAATCAGCATCGATAACAGATTATTGTTTGTCTTCCACAGGTTCATCCAGAAAATGAGGACTGGACCTGCTTTGAACAGACGGCTAGTCTGGATATCAAGTCTTTTTTTGGCTTCGAGAGCTCAGCAGAGAAAATAGCGATGAAACAGTATGCTGCTAGCATTAAAAAGGTTTGTGTCCTTGAATTGAAGCATACACAGAAAATGTATACACCTGGTAAAGTGTTTGTCTATCTCCTGATTATTGATCTAGGTTCATCTCTTTATGTTTTAGGGTAAAGAAATAGTTGAGTACTACCTTAGAGAGCTGGAGGAAGAAGGAGTAACTCACATACCTCGGTGGACACCCCCTGTTGTCTCTGGGACTGCAGGTGCCAGGCTCCTGCTGCCACCCCCCTCTACTCCCAGAGCCATCCCAGTGATCAGTGCCAAGGATGGGCTGCCCAGCAAAGACCCAGCCTGTCCCGCAGAGCTGGTGTCTGGCTCTCCTGATGGTCAGTGGTTTCTCACTAGTCCCAATTAAAAATAGAGATAGCAGCCAACACACAACACAAAAGAGCAGAGTAAGCAAGGAAGGTGTGAAAGCACCCGAAGAATCTTCATCTTTCCTTCCTGAGTGCCTGTCTATTCTTCCCTCTTTTTTTCAGTCAGAAAGTCTGTAAATGGTTTTAATGGACTTAATGTAATATTTTAAAAAACAGAATTCATGTTTGTCCATATGAATTAACAAGCCTGTGGCTGGGCGTCAAATCTCACACCTCTTGTTACACACTAGTGATTTGCAAAGACACCACTTCTCGCCTTGGCTTAACAAACACGTTGTATGTTGCAAAGATAATAAGTAAGTGTGAAGAGCAGCAAACACGACCAAGCTTGCAGAGACATTTCAAGCCGTAGCTGTAGCTTTTAAAATGTGCTTGTTGCTAAGTGCCCGCAGCAACATTTTATTTTGTGGTTCACTGAAATCTCTGGTTATTTCGAGTCGGGTTGAAAATGCGGTGAACAGCTCCTGATGCCTCCATCTGAAACATTCAATATGTGCTATCTTTACACTGTTCTTGTGGTTTTTTTGCCTGTAGACAAGTTAGATGCTGACTACATCAGACGTTACCTAGGTGATTTAACGCCTCTGCAGGAGAGCTGTCTTATTCGACTGCGCCAGTGGCTCCAGGAAACCCACAAGGGCAAGGTCAGACACACACAAACACACACACAAAGTTGTGCACTCATTTATTTCTAGACTTTCACCCGGGCTAGATTTCTGTCTTTCTCCTGCTACCACAGTAAAGCCAGTTTTGCTTTTTGCAGATATATTGCTGATTGAATATAGAAAATAAGCATTCATTGGCTGAAAAGAGCATTTTCCACTAAAAACTTTGCTTTTAACTTTTGACCCCTGCTTTTTTGTGTACAGATTCCAAAGGATCAGCATGTTCTGCGCTTCCTGAGAGCCAGAGATTTCAACTTAGACAAAGCCAGGGAGCTTTTGTGTCAGTCTCTTACCTGGAGGAAACAACATCAGGTGGATTTCTTGTTGGACACGTGGGAGCAGCCACAGCTGCTTCAGGAATATTACACTGGAGGCTGGCACCACCATGACAGAGGTACTGAATGAACCGGCCTATTTGATCCTTAACATCTCCTCTACTACCTCTACTTAATGCTACAGTGAAATTGTGAATGTCTTCACGGGTTGAAATGGGCTGTTAATAATTGACGGTGAAGTGGAAGCACCATCTGTTAGAGCTCCCATGTTTGTAAATGAGCTGTTGCTTTTAACAGGTCAGCTCACCTGGTTAGACTCAGGATGTGAACTCAGGAAGTGCCCTGTGAATGTGTGAACCTATTAAAATGATAAACACGAGCTTGGCAACAGAAAGTTGAAGTCAGATTTATTTTAGTCTTTTGTACAGTCAGTAAATTTCTGTGTGTACGTGATGATCCATGTCTCTGTGTGGTGTGTGTTTTAGACGGCCGTCCTCTGTACATCCTGCGTCTGGGTCAAATGGACACTAAGGGTCTGGTTCGAGCCCTGGGAGAGGAGGTGCTTCTCAGACAGGTGATATGAACACATGCACAAGATTTAATGCTGCAACATTAGGGCTGTAACATTTCTGAAACTGGCCCCGAAACCCGGATGCAAACAACCACAACCCCCAATTTGACATGTGGGAAATTCCCCAAACCACCATCACCATCACTGCAGGTGTAGTTTTCATTTCTTTTAAATTGAGGTGCAAACCAAACTGTGGCCCAGAAATCGAGGTCAGAACTGAACTGGAGATCTGGAGAATTATTACAGCCCTATTCAATACAGACATTAAACCGGTCATTTTATTTTCAGATGTTATAAGTTGTATTAATGCTGTTACATTACAACTGTGACTCAGGTCCTTTCCATCAATGAAGAGGGACTGAGGCGTTGTGAAGAAAACACCAGAGTCTTCGGCCGACCTATCAGGTGCCTAAACACTGATCTGCCCTTTGTCTGTGGTTGGGTAGTCACCTGCTTGTCAGATACACAGGGGCTTTTATCTTATTCATAGTAATGCAATGTGTGTGTTAACATGTTGCTCAGCTGCTGGACTTGCCTGGTGGATCTGGAGGGTCTCAACATGCGTCACCTGTGGCGACCGGGCGTCAAGGCTCTGCTTAGAATCATCGAGGTGGTGGAGGCCAACTATCCTGAGACTCTGGGTCGCCTCCTCATACTGAGGGCGCCTCGAGTTTTTCCATTGCTCTGGACCCTGGTGAGAATAACTGCAGTTATATTTCATATAAATAAATCAACATGATTGCTATAGATAAAGGAGAAACAGAAACAAAATGAAGATAGTTATTGCTATGTAGAGATTTTACTGATCCGCATGGGGCATATTGAGATGGCAACATGCTGTAGTGTAGTTTGTAGGACAGTAATAGCATTCAGCAAAGAAATACAGACAAGTATAAACAGTAAAAACAGTTGAAGCGATATGTAAGTGCTCGACGAACGTCAACTGGGGGGTATTTCTTCTCTTTGTCTCCTTCCGTCTTGCTGAGCCTCTTTTCTTCGTTTGCACAGTCCACATCATAGCACAGATGAGGATGCATTGATCTGCAGAGGTTTATGTTTGTGGGAGAAGATCAAAACCCTCAGTTTGTTAACTGAGACCTGTCGTTGCTAACATTACTGCTATGATCAGTCGTCAGCTCAGACTAAAGCATCTCTCCTTTCCATCTCTGGAAAACCTTGGGTCTTTGGACAGTTAGAAGTGACCCTGCTGCAAAACGTTCAGCTTACATTATCAATCTGTATAAAGCTTTATAAACATAAGAAACTGATACTGACCGGCCAAACTGAGTGTAGTAGGGCTGAAAAATTAAGATTGTTCCACAGGTGAGATGTAGTTTCTCATTATACATAAGTTGCATATAGTCTTCACCTGTTTTACCAGTATTTAATTTATTATATTTTAATTTACCACATATTAATGAATACAGTTATTGAATGCTGTAGAGACAGATTTATATTTAGATTAGATATAAAGTTACATTTAAGTTGAAAGAAGATATGTTTACGCTCACAGTTTTAACCTGGAGTGACTATAAGGTTTAGAATCATGGATCTATAAATAAACTTCACGTCTTATCTGTTGGAGTTCATCTCCTGCAGCCAGCAGCACTTTGTCTTCATCAGGTTACAGCTGAATAATTACATTTCAAAATTAAATCCAACAAACAGTAGGGTTCCAGCACTTTAGCATCCATTAAGGAAATTCAAGTCTGCTGAATAATGAATGGGCGAGCCACGCTGAATAAAACGTAACAGTGTTAACTTAAAGACTCTCTTGTCCTGACGGAGGCTCCAGAGCTTCACTGATGAGGATTCTTTTATTCACCAGGCACATTTATGAATATACTCAGAACTCTGATCAACTGATCTGAAACCAAATCATTTCCCAACTCAGGGTTCCTCTCAGAGTTCAGGGTTGAGTTTGTTAAACCTTCCTGCTGGAATGGATGCCGTAGTTTAGCAGCAGATGGAAAACAAACTTAGAAATACAGTAAAAGTTATTTTCATGATAAAATCAATGTGTAATATTAAATAAATTCATGAACCAGCCAATAACTTTAACAACCTCCAAACAACCTGCTTCTCCTGGGTCTTTTTTCTAGGTCAGCCCTTTGATTGACGAGAACACTCGTAAGAAGTTTCTTGTTTATGCTGGAAATGACTACCAGGGTCCAGGAGGTTTGGTGGATTACATCGACAGAGAGATCATCCCTGACTTTTTGGGAGGAGACTGCATGGTGAGGTTTATTTTCTCAGCATATCAACTTCTATATTCTATTCTATTCTATATTCGAAACAAATGTGTAATAACCATTAATTCATCACCAGCATGTGTATCAAGTTACTGCCTTTGTTACAATAGGTGTCTTTAGTTCTCATATTGTTTTTTAATATTAAAACAAAGAAGTAGAACCTGAATCTTCTTTGCAAACAGTTTATCATTTACAGATGTAAATACAGATTAATGGGAGATGTGTGTCCTGTTTTTGTTTTCATTCTCTAGTGTGAGATCCCTGAAGGAAGCATGGTCCCCAAATGTCTGTACAGGACCGCGGAGGAGCTGGAGAGTGAGGAGAACCGCCTGTTGACCGACTCCATCTATAAGAGCGCCAGCATCTTCAAGGGAGCTCCATATGAGGTACAGTCTACGCTTTCAAATCAGCTTCCTGATCCATATGTATCAAAGACGCCATGTTGGAGACATGTGTGTGATATCTATCATGTTACGACAAAAGTATTTCTACACAATTCCACTTTCTCTGTGTGCTGGATTTTTATGATGTGGAATCTGGCACCACCATCTGGAGCAAATCGACATTGCAGGCTTTTAGCGAAAGAGAAATGTGATTAATGGCCTGCTGTCCACAGCTCCTTGTTTCTAATCTCCTTACACCTCCCTGCAGATGCTGATTGAGATCACGGAGGCGTCCTCCGTCATTACCTGGGACTTTGACGTGTGTAAAGGAGATGTGATTTTCAACATCTACCACTCCAAGAGGGCCCCTCAGCCGCCGAAGAAAGACACGCTCGGAGCCCACGCCATCGCGTCGCTCGGGGCCGTGAATGCTCAGCTGATAGACAGGAGCTGGGTGCTGGGCCAGGACTACAGCATGGTGGAGAAAGCACTCACTTGCAGGGAGGGAGAGAGTGTACAGGTGCGACGGAGGACGGTGGACTCTGGACTCGTCTTTTCTTCATCTAAGTCGTTAAACCTCTATCATTGCAAATTAATCCTGCAGCTTCCCTTTGTTCAAACAGGGCTCCCACGTAACGCGCTGGCCGGGTTTCTACATCCTCCAGTGGCGTTTCCACAGCTCGCCAGCGTGCACCGCCTCCAGTCTGCCTCGTGTAGATGATGTTCTGGCCTCCCTGCAGGTCTCCTCCCACAAGTGTAAGATTATGTACTACACCGAGGTGCTGGCGTCCCATGACTTCAGGTCAGTTTAATAAACCACAGAGCTTCTTCCTCTGGTTATGTTTTCTTTGTACATAATCTGCACTGCTCTTGTTTGAGTTTATCTAAAATCAATGTGATGATGTTTCGGGAAAATGTAGACAACTTTGCTAGACATCTATTTTTTATACTTAATATACTGTACACATTTTCATAGTTATTCATTGGGTAGAATCCTGTCTAAGAATTATTATGTCTTTTCTATCATTTGTAGGGGATCCATGACCAGTCTGGAGTCGTGTCATAGTGGTTTCTCACAGCTCAGTGGTGCCACTACTTCCTCTAACCAATCACACACCAGCTCCATCTCAAGGTAGCATCTGCCCAACATCTGCCCCAAAGCAACAGTTACCCAAAACTGAATGACATGTGACCTACGTTTTCTGATGTTGTTTGTAATTTAGATCAGAGCTGAGTAAAGTTTCTGTGACCCTTTTCGTTTCTGTAAAATCATGTAGCAGTTTTTTCCTGTCCTTTGTTAGTTGTTGTTTTATGTTCGTGTACAGTATAAAAACTAATAAATATACCATTTGTAGTTAGATAAATGTTCATAAATGCTGAATAAATGAATTACAATGCCTCATGAATAGCAGATAGTTAGATAGATGAAATTAGATGAGATGGGGATTGAAAGTGAAACCTGTATAATGCTTTTATCTTCTATCCCTGAAGTTCCTTTCATTGTCCACAAGATGTCAGGGCACTCTGCGACTGGAGCTGCTCTCGGCTCTGCAGTGTTCTCAACACATGCAGTTTTACATTTACATGTCGTCTGGTCTTTTAAGAAATCTTTTTTTAAATAAAGAAATTATCACATAAATTAAAATTCATGTATCCTCCAGAACGTGTCTCTTGTTTATGATTTTTTTGTAGAAAACGTCGACTGCAGTCGAGGTGCTGTATCGAAGCAGTAATTTTGAAGACTGGTTGTTAGACATCTTTTTTAGCAATAGGTGAGATGTTAAGAGAGAGGAGATAATATACAATCTCAATTAAATATGCACTGCACTCTCTAGATTCCATGTAATGTTGTTTTTGGGCTTGTTAGGCGGAGCTGAGTTTTCCGAGGCAGCTAATTTGAATGCAATATTGTGCAGCCCCCTTGTGATCTGCCACAGGGCCAGGCAGACAACTGATTTACATAAAACTTTAATTTTCATAAACCTATCTGATGCTTCCAGCTAAAGCGTAATTGAATTTCCTGTGTTATGTTTTGTTTTGTTTTTTTGGCTTGCAAACTTGTGTCATGTTGCTGTTTATCCCGACACAAAGCCAGGTGGATTGTGTTTTGTGAATGGGAGTCTGACTTCCTGCCGCTGCGTCAGGGTTGTTAGAAAGAGGAAGTGTATTTTTCTCCAGGAGCTTATTTACAGAATTACTCGGCTTGGTCTAATGACCTCCCAAGACATATAAATAGCAGCACATCTTTCAAATGATATGCCTGACATGCTTTCTTAGCAGTTGCATGGTTTGAGGCTGATATTAGCGGCCTTCATCGACTTTAAAAACAAGGTCATTATCGAGGTCTGTCGGTGAATACTCCTTAATATTGTATCACATTACATTTATCACGTTTACTTATCATAGTTCAGTACGTTAGCATGCTGATATTTGCAGCACTAATCACAAAGTGAAGCTAAGGTTGATGGGGAATGTCTTTTTTTAGTTATAGGCTATGTAGCATGAATCAAAGAGTTGACTAAACTTTTAGGCTTTTTGCTTAAATAAAACTGAAGATGGCACTAAAAGATAGAGGATCACCAAAGTCATCTTCTGGGACCATGAATGTGAACGCAATCTCATTGCAAACCATAATCTTTGTATATGTGATATTTTATATCACCAGTCTGTCAGAAATTTTCCTTCAAACCAAAAATAAACATTTGTGGAGAAAACCAAATGGCTGCTTATCAGTCATCAAATAATATTTGAATAAATGGGAGAAAGTTTTTGTGGCAGATGTGGTGTCGACACACTGAACCTCTTTGGATCTCCTCTCCTATAAAGAACCCAAATAGAAAATAGACTTGAGAGACACTTCTACGTTAGGATTCTATGGCGTTTATCATGTGACTTTAATATTTCAAGCTATCTTTTGAAAAACAACTTTGTTATGAAAGATTAATAACTTCAGTGGAAGAGATGCCAACATTTTCAACATTTCAATATCGTATTATTCCTTGGTTCCACTGATCATCACAGATATTATAACAAGGAGATCATGTGGAATTTGTCTCTAAAGAAACAGACCCGAAGATTAAATCCCGACCACGTCTCTGTGAGAAACTCTAACCTGCCTCGTAAGCTGCAGGCTGACCAGATTTGTACAACCACACTGGTGATATGCAAGTCTGGAGAAGCAGTCAAATTGAAATCACATTTTGAATAATACTGCAACCAGGAACACTAGATCTCTTAATTCTTTGGCAAGCTCAGCGGGCGGAGAGACGGGCTGCAGTGATAATGTGCTGCTGAAATAAGTCTCAGACTTCTTGTTACAGATATAAACATCCCAGGCTTCACTGGGAATAGTTCATGATAATGAAGAATCTTCAGCTCAGAAATACCAGACTCAGACAGGGGGATTGTCAACATGGGCCTGATTTCGGTTGAATTTCTTTTTTTTTGTATTTACATCTCATGCATGGTGAAAAAGAGAGAGAGGTTGCACTTTTAAAAATTAACTATTCATGCATCACTCCTTTGAATCAGCTTGAAAGAGCCAACGCCTTTTCTCAGATGCCAAGGTTGAATGATAAAAGCAGTAAAAACTCACAAAACTATATCTTCCCATTTATTCCCTCAACTTATCAAGTACTGCATGGAAGTGGCTTTTTTTCTAACTTGATTTGATCACAGTAAGAAAATTCTCGTTAGACATAAGGTTGTAGAGTCTTACTGTATGTGGACACTCATTAAAACCTAAGGACCGTGTTTCATTTTCTTCCATCTGACAATCCTGACCTTCCCTCTAATTGAAAAGGAGCTCTGTAATAGAGTGCACTAAATTATTTTTAGGACACTTGACACGCTGGAAGAGAAACTTTGTGCTGGATTGTTCGGCTGCACAAATGTGAAGCTTAAATCAAGGTCTCGTTCTAACCGTGTTGTGTGGAACCTGAAAACAGTAAACGTTTAATGCCCCCTCCATCTGAGTTGTGGACCTGTCTATTTAACTAATCTCATATTGGCTGGGTTGAAATTCATTTTCTGACTTGATGTACCGCTGGGCCTGATTAATATGTCCACAGACAAATAGATACAGTCACGTCTATTTATCTCTGATGCCTCATACTATCCTTCACATCTTCAAACATTGATTTTTTTCTCTGCAACAAGAAAAACCATCAATCTGGCTTCAATTTAGGCCAATTTCTGAGCACTGCCCTCATTTGCAATGAACTGTCAAGGCTCTGCTTAAGTCAAATGTTGTTTTCATCAAGTTCCTAACATCCAGCCCGCTTTTATTTCTACAGTATTTCCTTGGCTCACTGACTTCTATTGTTGACATTTCCATCCCTCCCTCTTTCTAAATGGGCACTGAACTGTGCAGGTCTGCCCCCCCTTAAATGTTACAGTGGGAAACTATTTATCCATTTCCTTGTTTGGACAGAATACCAAGCTTTTCAAACTTGTCCTGCACAAAACCTCTTCACAAACAGCAGTCAGTCGTCACATCACACAGTCATGCTTCCCAGTCAACTGTGATCCAAACCCACTTTGCTTTATTTCAAAATTATAGTCTCAGGTAAGATGTTTATGAAATAATACACATTTAGAATATTTATATTTGATGTAACATGGCAGCCATTCAAGGTTTTTTGGAATACAATATTTGAATAACTAGAAAATGTAGTTGTTCAAAAATTGTCAAAATGATGCAAAACACAATTAAGATGTTATTTCTCTGAAAAGGTTGAAAGGTTTACTTCTGAAGCAGAGCGCACTTTCATATACAAACATTACATCTGTTAACATTTCTGTTGAATAAATGAATACACAAGTTTCCTCGTGGCTTTGTTCAGGTATACCAACTTTACCTTTGGGGCTTTTTAAGGAGGTTGAAATATTTGCTTGATTAAATTTTGTTTTGAAACAATACATTTCCATCGAATATGATTATTTTTTGATCTTCTATTCTGAGACAGCACAGGAAAGTAGGTTTACTAGTTATAATATTGTATTTCTGCATGAAAATCAGAACATTATGAAGACCAGCAGAAACAAGAAGTGACATTTCATGATCAGGAGGCAACATTTCAAACATTTATAGCCCAGTGGAATATATGGTATTGTCTTATGGGTGTTCATCGGTCATAGATGAATTCATTAATGATAATAATAATAATAATAATAACAATAAGTTACAAAAGAAGATGCTTCTCTGGCTTAGGAAGTCAAATTAGAAAAACCACAGTTAAATTAAAACAGAGGGACAGAGATAGAAACTGGATATTTTTATTTTATCTAGGAAAAAATCCCCAAATTTAGTTTAGTGACAATTCATCAGTGACGTCAGCACCAAAAAAAAAAAAAAACACGCGCTTGCGTCGAGAGAACGCGCGGTTCTGGGGGCGGGGCCAAAGGGAAGGCGCTGTTCTGATTGGTCGCTTCCACGGCACTTACAACTTCTGTGCGCTTACTTTGCGTATCCCCGTTTCCGGTGAGGGCCCGGATGGAGGTGAGCGTGACGGAGAGGCCTCAGTCTGCAGGAGGCGCCATGGTGCAGCTGAAGCACTACAGATTCAGGAAGGAGGAAAGTGTCCCTCCTGTCTTTAAATGCTCAGTGACATGGCTGTCAGTGAACAGGAGGAGTAAAGTTCCAACTGGACAAAGAGCTGAAGCTGAGGAGAAGCCGAGCCGTGAGCTGCAGGTGATTATTGTCCTTCATGTCTTTTAATGTCGAGGTTTTAAATAACACATACATGTATTTTGGGTGTTTTAATTGGGGCCCATTTAGGTTCACCGGTGTCAGGGCCCCTGACTCGGCTCAGTGACAGACTCATTAATGGAACAGAGCCCACGTCAGTACATTTATTTACACCTGTGATTTAAAATGTCTGCCTTGAAAAAAGGCCCATTATTGTATATTTCATGTTGATGTGTAAAGAAAGATGAACAACATGTGTGTGAAATGGTAAATGGATTGTATTTATTCAGAGTTTTTCTTTTTTTCCAATCTTATCGACCTCTAAAAACTCTTAATAGCACAAGTGCCATTCACACACTCATTCGTACGGGGCTTCAACACACAGGGCTTTTCCTAATACACATCATTCAGCAGTCGGCACAGCCGGCGGGGGCAATTTGTGGTTAATTATCTTGCCCAAGGACACATAAAAATGCAGACCGTAGGTGCTGGGGATTAAACCACAGACCTTCTAGTTGGTGGATGTCCATCTCCACCTCCCTCTCCACAGCTACCCCACATTGAATTACTCATAGACCGTATATGAAGATGGATGACACGTCTCTACTTCATCCAGAAATGAAAAATAAATATGCACAATATAAACGCTGCCATCCTGCACATTTGAAGCCTCAGTCTGTACAGAACTGATCTGGGGATTGAGCTGTGGTCGTGAGGTCCCGCCAATACAAGTGCTTGACCAATCCCTCTCAGCTGTCAATCATGACGTTTCACCCTGTTTTTAATTATAGCATCAAATAAAGATCAGAGCCACTTGAACAACTATCAGTGTGGTAAGAACTACTGTTTAGTTTGTCCCATCTACTAACATGGAAGAGAGAGGATTTATGATGATTGACACACTTTTGATGAGCTGTCATGTCGTCCATCTTGACATACAATCTAATACAGAAGCCTATAGGTGGA